AAAAAGTGGTAAAAAAAAAAAAAAAAAAAAAAAAAAACACATTTTAGTAAAACCAATACCTTCTCAGCTTCGCATCGAAGCTAAAAATTAAATTGATTTAAAATGTTTTCAAAAATTAGTTTTTCTATACAAAATATTAGCTGATATAGGACATAGTGTACATATGTGGGAATCATATTCAAAACCCCTCCAAAGCCAAAATTATTTTTAATGTTCATTTTAATATTCATGATCAATATATTCTTAATTTATATTTTTAAATTTATAGAGCATAAACTTCTTAATATCATAAGGAAGTATATCTATTAATCATGCACTTTTATATGCAAAAAAATAACATCAAATTCAAGACCTAATAATTCACACTACATGTTAAAAATACTAAACATTTGTATTTCAAATATCACGGATAAAATATATTCAAGTACATTTTGTAAAAATATTTTTAAAAAGTATTTCAAATACTTTACAGTATTCACAGACTACATTTTAAGCGTAGAGCGGTTAAATTTTTTTTTTTTTTTTTGAGAGAGAGTAAGCCTAGTTTTTATTACAAATTTAGTTGTGTTCATTTATTACAAAAAAATCTAAATCTTATTCTTGTTTCTGTGGTTATATTTTGTATACTAAAATAAATAATTTTCGATCAACAAGTCAAAGAAATTTATTTGAAATGATAAAACTAAAGATAATCATAACTTTATTCATTAACTATCAAACATGTTTTTCCAACGCTATCTTTAACATTATTAATAAAGGTTTTTATAATACATTATATGTAAATATAACTTGGGTCTTATATAAGTAGTTAATAAGTGGGGTCCATAGAAATAATATAAATAGTAATATGGTCACTAGGGTGGGCCTAAAAAATCGAATGTCTTTTTAATTCGATGCGAAGCTGAAAAGGTATTGGTTTTACTATGATGTATTTTTTTTTTTTTGTGTGTGTCTGTTACCACTTTTTCTCAGCTCTCACCGAACTTATTTCTTTCAACGATACGTCAAAAGATCACAAATCGTATCTAGTCGAAGACATTACCCTTCAAAATTGAAAAAATTTCCCTCGTTCCCCGTAAATGGGGGAAACCTCCAAAAAAATTACAAATTTAAAAATCGCTAATTTTCGAAATTTTTTCAATTTTTTTTACTAAAAACTGCCGTAACTTTTTCAAAAATGAACATATGAATATAACTTTTTTTTTTATAGATGCTTGAAGTATNTATGGATCAATATAATTCTTTTTTTTGTAGATGCATGATGTCTTTACCTATCATTTGGTATATTTTTTTTATAAATCTGACTTTTTACCTGCCTACAGGGGGGGATTCAAAATGACAACTTTTTCACAAAAAATTGACTTTTTCAACTTAAATTTTGAAAGTATTCCGGAAAATCTGACACTTTTCTATATATATTAAATTAAAGCTAATGTAATCTACTTTATTATGTAAAAAAAAATTTTGGACTTTGTTTTGTCTTCACGGTGAAAATGGCTACCAAATGCTATTATTGTGTGAAAATTTTCAATTTTATTTTTTACATTTTTAACTTTATAATGCTATAACTTATTGAAAAGTGTATTGATCAATATAATTTTTTTATGGAAAATACTATTTTTTAATAATCCCTTGTTCATTTGACAAACTTTATCTTAATCAGGATATTAATAAGGAACTAGCAGTTTATGATGCTTTTGGAATAATCCACCAATTTTTAAAATTAAACACTATCTAAAGATTTGCATCGAAGCGTTTTTTTTTTATAGTGATTTTAATCACTGTCAGATATCATTATACTTGATCCAACTATGCCGCGACCCCCCTGTGCTAGGTTTTTTTGATTAACTTTGAATTATGAAAGTAAAACTCAAATAAAGGAAATTTTACAAGAAATTCAAAAATAATAAGTTCAATGTAGTTTACTTAATAAATAGCCCTCAAAAACACTACATACAGTAAAAAACATGTAAAAGTCTTAAAAATATGTTATAATGGATTTTGTTGATTTTTATTTATTTATTTTCATTTTATTCTTTGAAAAACGCATATTCGTTTGACAAAAGGTTCTAAAAGTTTTTTATGCCAAATACGATAATATTATTAGATTTATTATTTTATGGACAGTTAATTAATGATTAATTACAAATCTAACAAAATTTATTGTATTATTACATTTTGTCGTATTACTATATCAATTTTGGTTGACTGAATTGCTTTAAGATAGTTCCAATTGTATTATCATTAAATATTAGCATATTTTTGAAAGTAATATTAAATAAATGATAGAACAAGAACTTCATAATAGTGAAAAAGACATAATAGTCAATTTTTTCATAAACCAGGTGCTATTCATGATCCTCGATGGATGGCCAAGCCCATTTATAGCCTCAAAATATATATATATTTAAAGACGATTTCAAACTTAATAGCAGAGAAACACAAGGATTACGCGATGTTTGTTTGTTTTTGGTACTAGTTTATGTTAAATCAATGTTTACAGCAATTTCGGCGGTTGCAGCACCATATAATGATTTGAATTTTGTTAAAAAATTATACAACTATAATAATATAATAGACAGTGAAATACCTCAAATTGAGCTTTCTAAATTTATAAATCACTTATGGTACTTAAGTCTACAATCCATGGGCCTGGCATTTTTTGATAATAAAATAGATGTTAATATTAAAAAAAAATTTAATTCAACGTCAAGTCAGACATCGAAACATCTGAAATTAAACAAATCCGATATAGCCGATTTTGTAAAAAAAGATATTGAATATTTTGTATCAAAAGAAACATTAGATTTTTAAAACTTTTAATCTGAACATTGATTTTTTGATAATTGATCCATCATTTTGGAGTGCGAACAATAGTTACATAAATGCTTTACATACTATAAGCAAATTACGAGTCGTTAATGATACAGCCGAGCGTGGGATTAAATTGATCGAAGACTACAACAATATATTAACTACAAATGAAGAGCAGAAACATTACGTTTTACAAATAATAAGTGATTATCAGAAAAAATTTCCTAATTGTAAAAAAAGTACATTAACAAAAAATACTTTGTAATTTAATGTAATTCAATTTTCTACTTCAATTATTGTGTAAAATATTTTGTTTTAAAGTTATTATTATTTTAAACAAAATAAATTAAAAATTGTTAATAACAAGTAAAATATTTTATAAAAAAAATTATGTTATAATAAAATCAGATTTGTTTTCTAAGATATAATTAACATTCAGATCATACACTTGCAGGGATATCTCAATTAGATATAATTTAGTGGTAAAAAAGTATTAATCAAAAAGCTCAACTTATAACCAAAACATAAATTATTTTCTTTAATCGAAAAATGTAATATAGTTGATATAGTAATACGACAAAATGTAATAATACAATAATTTTGTTAGGTTTGTAATTAATCATTAATTAACTGTCCATAAAATAATAAATCTAATATTATCGTATTTGGTATAAAAAATTAAACTTTTAGAACCTTTTTTTAAACGAATATGCGTTTTCCAAAGAATAAAATGAAAATAAATAAGTAAAAATCAACAAAATCCATTATAACATATTTTTAAGACTTTTACATGTTTTTTATTGTGTGTAGTGTTTTTGTGGGCTACTTATTAAGTAAACTACATTGAAGTTATTAGTTTTGAATTTCTTGTAAAATTTTCTTTATTTGAGTTTTACTTTTATAATTCTAAGTTAAGCAAAAAAAAAGTTATGAGACATAGATCAGATATTTCTATGAAATTTGCCTCTTCAACTCAACTTAATAGGCCCGGGGGCACAGGTTAACCTTTAAGGATCGGTCCCAAATTTTGCACAGCTCATTTTTTTGACTATTAAAAAAAAATTAAGTGGTAGCGTAAAAAAAAAAAGACATTCGATTTTTGAGGGCCACCCTAATGGTCACGCAATTAATTATTCAGTCAATGCCTTAACGCTGATGTCCAGCTGCGCTTTTTACTGTTGGTTCCCCACTAGGTGACCATACTTTAACAGTGATACACCCTTTGTCCCTTACTGGGTCCTTCAGCCATAATGAAGTTGCATTAGGTCTACAGCCTGTGTAAAAATTCTATCAAATCATTATAAGGTAGAAAGGCTAAGGAGATAATGATAATTTAGAATACTATAAAAGTATTTAAATACTTAAAATATATGCTAATTGAAATTTGTATAAATAAAAATTCATAAATATTTTTATTTTTATATGTTATCTTGAAATTTAAAATTAATAATTACTTTAGAATTAAGAATTTCCCTAAGAAAATTTTGTAAGGTTACCTTGAAATCTGGTGTCTCAGGAATAAGAATCCCTTCTCTAAACCATTGTATAGATGGTGTTGGTTGACCAGTCACCTGAGTACGAAATTGTGCAGAACTACCTTCAGGTACAATAACATCCCCCATAGGACTTAATGTAGGGGCTTCATCCTGATTTTCAGGTACTGTAAAATTTTACTATTAATAAAATAAATCAATACTTATAAATTTATATTACTAAAATAACATTACCAATAACTTTTAAATCAGCAGACAACACTGCTTGACCACCAGAATTAGATACAAAACATTTGTAAGTTCCTTCATCTTCTGGAAATACTTCAGATATATGTAGAGCTACATTTTCACCATCATTTGTCATTCGGAAATATTTTGATGGTTTTATAACTTTATCACCCTTTTGCCATTTTACATTTATTGCTATAAAAAATTATACATATTATTTGATTTAATTATATTATTTCATTAAGAATATCTACATTTTATATTTTACTTACGGGGTTTACAAGATATTTTACAAGTAAATGTTACTGGTTGTCCCTCATGAATTACTTGACCAGACAATGGTTGTACTATAGTAGGAGCTTGTTCTTTACCAGTGGATTTTTCTTTAGGTTTTGACTTTTGTTCTAAAGGTTCAACAATTAATGGTGCTTCACATCTTGCTTCCCCAGAATTGTTGATAGCTACACACTCATATGACCCACTATCATCAGTAACTGTTTCCAGTATCAAAAGAGTATATTGATTATCTTCATCTAATGTCTTGTACCGGATATCCTGTGATATTTTTTTCCCATTCTAAAATTTAAAATTGTGAATATATAATAGATGCTAGCATTATAAAATAAGTTTAATTAATTATAGTTAATATTACTTTCAACCAATAAACATCTAAAGGCTTGTTGGCATTTATTTTCACATCAAATCTAGCAAGTTGTCCAGCTTTTACCATAGCTCCTTGTATAGTTGTAGAGAAACTTGGAGGTCCTGGACCTTTTCTACCAACCTGCCTACGCTCTTCAACAACTAAATTAGCACTGCATTTTGCTTTTCCGCCCCTGTTTTCTGCAATAACAGCAAAAATTCCTGAATCTTCCATAAAAACCTAAATGGTAATAAAATATTAGATTGTATAAAAAAAGTTAGTGAATAAATTTACTTGTCGTATAATTAAAACAGATTTTGTGCTAAATGTATGGATTTGAAAGTCGGGTGAATTTTGAATTAAGAAATCTTCTCTGTACCATTTAATTGTTGGTAATGGTTCTCCATCAAATTCAACTTCAAAACGTGCTTGATCTTGTTCAAATGCACGACAAGGTTGAATTTTCTTAGTAAATACTGGTGGTTTGCTTGGTTCCTTTAAGAATAAAAACAGATTATTTCTCATTAAATTTTATGTATAATGTTATATATAACTCTAGTAAGATAAAACTGTGCCACTATTTAACTTATAGTTTAATTCCATAAAATATCACAAAAAACAGTGGGTTCCAGGGTTTTATCTTGGAAAAAAATATACATAAGGAATTGCTTACTACCCCCTCCAAAATACATCTTAAACACATATTTATTTTTATTATGAGGGGTTCTATTCCCATACCCTCTGTGAGAAATCCCACAACAAAAACAGGCAAAATTTTTTTATTTCCTGTCAGATATTGTATCTACATAAGGTAAACCATTTGTAATCAACTATTTTAGAAACTTGGAAGCTGGGAATTAAGTAAGACTTTTCCATTAAATTAGATAGCATAATGAAAAAGCTCTTGCCTAAACTATAAGTACACCCATTCACTAGCATATTTCCTTTAGTTTTCAAATTTTTGTTTTTTTTATTAATTTTACTTACTACTTTTCCTTTAACAACTCTTTCTTGTGTATTCCCACTATGTTCCATTTCAGTTGTTTCAATAGAAGTAATTTTTCTATTAATTTCTTTATTATCTTTTATCTAAATTAATTTATTATTATTATTTTAAGTACGTAGTACTAAGTATGAATATTAAGTATGAAATTATAAACATTTATTAAATGAAAAATTATAAAAACATACTTCTTTTTGAGTTTGTTTTTGTTTGGCTACATGTATTTCTTTTCCATGCACTGATGATTCTGATGGATCTGTTGGAATCTGAGTATTATCAGGACAAATTTTAAGAGTTTTTGTTTGCCATGGCATTAATTCTTCTTTTTTCTCTTTTACTCTAATATAATTAAAGAATATATTTAAAAATTAGAATAATAAAATATTAATTTTTTCTTTTAATATTACTTAATTAATTAATTAAATTTATAACTTAATTCATAATAATAAAAACTTACAATGATGCTTCATAATCATGAATTTGCCCTTTAGATTTATTAATAATTTTTTCTCCTGGAATTTCAATTTGATGCGATGCTTCTCGAATTTTTGTTTCTTTTATAATTTGATCTCCTTCTAACTATAAATATTATTTAAAAAATATATAATTATTTAAATTTTTAATTTCTTCATAAAATAAATAAATAAGAGTAAATATTCACAATAAGATAGTTTTATATTATTTTGAAATAACAGAAACTTAATTTTTTTGCACAATTATAATTAGAACATTTTGTAAGAATATTTACATACCTTGCTTAATTTACTATAAAATTCCTCATTTTTCTTTTGTTTTACAGTTTCTGTCCATTCTGGCTTTGGTTCACTCAATTGCTTTAGTTTTATATGTTCTCCAACTGCTGACACCACAATATTGCCATAATCAGCTTGTTGGACATTAGTTGCTCTCTCTGTGAATACCTTTTCCAATTCATTCTCTTTGAGATCTTTTTGATACTGAACCAAATCAGAGTCATACCATGCTGAACATATATATAATTGAGTCATATTTTTTTTAAATAAAAAGTATAAATTATAAATATAGCAATTATTATTAAATGTGCCAAGCAAAATAAGAATATAAATGAAAATACAAATAAATTAATTTACATGAAAAAGAGTTTCTTGTTAATTGATAAAACAAAATAAATATAAGACATACTGTTAGTAATATTTCTCTTAAACAGTCTAAAAACTTTAAATAGAATTAATTTAGCAAGTAAAATAGAACAAAAAAAATATTGAAATCAGTTTATAATTTGTTTATTATTATAATTTATAAATAGAATATTGCAATGATTTCCAATGATACCACAACTAAGTTCAGTGGAGCCTAAAACTAATCAAAATAAAAATCTTTAAGTTTTATCTTCAAAATATAAGGTTTTTCAATGTCGCCCACTAATATTTATTTGAATAAAAAATAAACATCACAAGATTTCTCGTAAATTTATTATATGAGTAGAGTGGCCACTTAATTTGTTTTTTTTTTTTAATGACGTTTACCCCAAATAACAAAATTATATTTGAGTGTTACCAACTATATTTTACTTCAAATTAAAATTGAATTTCATGGTATGGTATTTTTAATTTTAATGAGTCTCTATACTAATATTCATATGAAAACTATGCAATTCATACATTAAGATATTTGTGAATTTTTAAGATAGAAACTTTATTAAAATTTAAAATGAAAAAAATGAATGATAGTTTATCAGTTTGAAAATTTTGTGGAAAATACTGCAGTAATGTTTACTTTTTATTTGAATAAATATTAGCAAAGAAACACTGGAAAATCCTAATTTTAAAGTTAAAATATTAAGAACTTTGGTTTTTTTATCTTAGGTTCCATTGAATATTGTTACATTATCATTAATAACTATTTATCTGTAAATAAAATTGAAAGAAAATAAAATTAATATTAAGAAAAAAATACCTGTTTCTATACTCCAATATACGCAGAACCGTAGACAATTAACAGAAGCTATGAAGACATCCTCTTGACAAGCTAGTTTAGCAGGTTAGCAAAGCAAAACAGGAATAAAGGATAAAATGGAACTTAGCAGTGTGATAAAAATGGTTTTTATGTGATTGTAAGAAAATGTGCTGATTATTATTAAAATTGTATTTAAGCTACATACTTAATATTGCTATATATAACACTATTAATTTTATAATATTTTGATAATGTCACCACAAGGTGGAATTATTAGTTAAATAAAAATAGTCCACTATTTTCATATATTATTAAAAAGCATTTGTAATTGTGTAATGATTATGTAAAATAATCATTATTTACAATTCAATACTTACGTCTCGGTGAATTTTTCAACACTCCTCTATAATCATCATGTCTAGATTTGACAACTAGCATAGTTTCAACACGTGTTTCACCTATTGAATTTCTAGCAATAACTTCCACTTTTCCATGATCATACTGTCTTGTTTTAGGTATATCTAGATGCCACATTCCATCATAATTCAATTTATAACGCATACCCTGAATGATAAATTGCTTTTAAGTTTTTTAAAATATTATGTTATATAATTAAAAAAAATATACATTAACAACTGTATTTCCATTGACAAGCCACATAACTCGTGGTCTAGGAAATCCAGTAACTCTGCAACAAAATCTAGCCCAATCTCCTTCACACACAGTAACAGATTCAGGTTTACTAACAAATTGAGGAGGCTCTCTACGTTTTTCTTCTTCTTCTTTTTCTTCAGGTAATCTGAATTCAGATAATTAAAAGTACATAAACAATAAATTTGTATTCTAATAATTATTAACATGTACCATCATAAAACACTCTAAGATTTTTGAAAATTTACTTACACTTGCCATGAAGCTTCCATTTCACGAATTTTTTCAATACTCTTCATTCCTTTAGGAAGTTGAGACTCATATATAATACCAGGTTTTCCAGAAGTTTTAATGATGGCTTTTGTTTCATCTTGGCCATATAAATTGGAAGCTCTACAGACATATTCTCCACTATCCTCAGGGTAAATCCAATCAAAATTCATTGCCACATATCCAAAATCATAGATTGGATTAAATCGGTTCTCTAATTAAAATATAAATAAATGTTTTATTTTTCATAAAATATAGAAAGTAAAAGTTAACATACTATGTCTTAATGGTTTTCCATTAAGGAACCATTCAACCTTCATATTAGGGTCACCAACTGGAGCAAGTTGACATTCAAATTTAGTAGATTCCATTTCAACTAATGATAATTGATCTTTTAATTGGCTAACAAACCTAATTATTAAAAAAACAAAATTACATGTTTAAAATGGTGGCACAACAATGGTTGCTAATGATAAAATATTTATTGACTCATTTTTTAATGTGTAACGTCATTACAAAAGTTTTGTTAAATTAAATAAAGAAAAATCGAAATTCAATTATCAAGATTTTATGGTACTGAAATCTATTTAATATTCTTTTCCTTTAATTTTATAATATTGTTTCATGAAAATAAAAATGCTATATAAAAAATAATAGCCTTAGAAAAGCCAGTTTTTTTTTATAAATTCTAATTATTTTAAACATTTTTAAAATTTGTGCTTTACTCTGTATGTCTTATTATAATTATAATTAATTTCCTTAAGTTAATTTCATATAAAATATAATGGTTCTAAAGTGAAAAGGATACTCTGTATTCTTAACTATAGAATATTTTTTTTCCCTATAACTGATTTAAATTAACTCATAAAAGTTAAGAGTTTATTAAAGATTATTTCAAAATATGTTTTTAAGAACAAAAAATGATGAATATTTACCTTGGAGGTTGTTTCTTTTCTAGTTCATACAAATCATCTTCAGTTAAATGTATCTCAGATGTATACTTTTTAATAGCTGCTTCCATTTGAGTTAATGCTTCTGATTTTTTCATACCTTTGGGTACTTGATTTTGTAGCAGAATAGTTGGAAGCTCTATTATAAAATCATGAAAAACAATATTTAAAAGTATATATCTAAAAAATTATCTTTGATATTTTTATAAAATAAATTACTAACTATTTTAACTAAGGCTTAAATTTCGAGTCAAAATAAGTTCTTACACTAAATATATCATAATATATATTTTTTAGGTACAGTTATTATCAAAAACATAATCTTCAATAAAATTTCTAAATTTTATGTTATTTCTAACTAATTCTACACGAAATAGTAAAGTTAGCGAAATACCACCTATCAATATGTTTAAAATGTATAATATTTGAGCTTACGTTTACAAGTAACTATAGCTTTAGTGATGGCTTCACCATGGTCATTAATAGCTCTACAAACATATTCTCCAGAATCTTCAGCATACATAGATAAAATATCCAAAGAAACAAATCCCAAATCAAACAATGATTTATATCTATGTCCAGAAGGTAAAAGTTTACCATTTCTGTACCATTCTACTCTAAGTTTTGGGTCATTCTTTGGTTCTACTTTTGTTTCAAAGTGTACTGAACTAGCTTCCTCAACCGTAGCTGATTCAATCTGTAAATAGTTAGTCAATCAAATAATTAATGATTTATAAAAATTAAATAAATGTTTAACAGAAATTAAAAAACAACATATTATTAAATAATGAATCATTTTTAAGCCAATTATGGTACTAAAATAACACATAAAATAAATTATTTTGGAAATAAAATTTTACAGTTTTTCAGAAATACTTAGATATTGTAATTATCAAATATGATTTTTTTAAATAATAGTTACTTGAAAACTGAAAAAGTTTTCTTTATATTTGACTTAGTCTATTTATTCTGAGTATCATAAAGTTATACACTTATTACTGAGTGTTACACATTAGTAAACTGAGGAAAAAATATGCCAGTGGACTGATAATCAAACCTAGATACATTATCTGGAAAAGCACTCACTTAGAAGGTGAGAGATTTTCCATTATCTACTTGATAGCCACACATAGTCCCCATTTTTTCCCTTAATTAAGTCCCTTAATTGATTGATAAAATAAGTTCAAAAAAAAAAAAAGATACCTGTGATAAAAATTTGGGGGGAACTGCTTCTATTTCATCTTTTTCGACTTTTTCTTGTATGGGTCCTTGCTCCAATGCTTTTAATTTCTCTCCACTCATTCCTTCTGGTAATTGTGAATCCAATATCACATTAAGTTTGGCAGAACATGTAAGTTTAGCTTTAGTAATTGCTGTTCCCCATTTGTTAGTGGCACGACAAATGTATTCACCCGAATCACGTGGATAAACATAATCCATATCTAAAGATATAAAACCAAAATCATGTATTACATGAACTCGGGAACCTGTAGCAAATGGTTTTCCATTAAAGAACCAATCAATTCGTAATGTTGGATCATTGACTGGTTCAACTCTACATTCAAAATGAACAGGTTTGGCTTCTTGAACATCTATTGCATCCTAAAAAATATACAATTCTCTAAGTCAATAAATTATTATAAAGCATTTTATAAAAAATATTACCTTAATATTTTCAATAAACTTAGGTGGATAAGGTGTTTCTTCTTCTGTCAAAATTTCTTCTTTTTTATACATATTTTCTTCAAGTTTTTGAATACTTTCAGTACCAGACCTAAATTTATTGGGTAACTGAGGTTCTAATACAATACCTTGACGACCTTTTACTTGTAATTTGCATGTAATGGTGGCTTCACCGTGTTTATTGGTAGCCTAAACAAACAATACAATTATTTTATGAAAATAGTAAATAATTATCAGAATATAATTAATTATTAATTATTTAATATTAAATATTTTCCATAAAAATTAATCTAATAATATCAATATACAAATTTTTATCATTTTGTGCATATTGTAAATTTATATGGAAATGTTTTGTATAGAATTTATTTCTAGGGGAGAAATGAATAGATTTGAATTTTATTTAGTTCTTAATAAGTAAATCTAGAATATTATTTCAATAAAAAATTAATGGTAATAATAAAAAGTCTAACTTATTGTTTTAATAAATAAATAATAATTGAAATATATTTATAAAAAAAAATTAATTTTTATTTATTTAAAAAAAATAATAAATAAATTATTCCCATTGCCTAACTATAAATAATTTCTAATTATTTCACAATACTGTTATTAAATAAAACAAACATAGAAAATCTTTATAATGTACCTTGCAAGTATAAACTCCAGAGTCTCTAATGTAAACACCAGCTACTTCAAGAATAACAAATCCAAAGTCATTGATTGTTTTAATACGTGAACCAGCTGATAGAACTTTGCCATTATGGAACCATGTGACAATCATACTAGGATCATTTGTAGGTAAAAGCCGACACTCAAAATGTGCTAAAGAATTTTCTGGTAAACTAAGATCTGCTGGTGTAGTAATAAACTCTGGGGCTTTTCCCAACTCATCTTCAGTTTCAATTGGACCTCTTGATTGTCCAAGTCCTTCAAGTTCAGCAATTTTGTCAATAGTACCTTCCATTCCTTTAGGAAGTTGAGATTCTACAATTATGCTTCTTTTTCCTTGAACTTTCATACTAGAAGTAGATACAGCTTCTCCAAAGTTATTAGTTGCACGACATGAATATTCTCCTGAATCTTCTGGATACACAGGAGATATTTCTAATATAACAAATCCAAATTCACAGAATGTCCTGAATCTAGATCCAGCTTTCAAGGGTTTACTATTCCAATACCATTCAACCTATCAAATTAATAGATTAAATATTTGAACACATTTAATAGCTATTATAATAAACTACCTTTAGATTTGGATCATTTATTGGTGTTAAACGACCTTCAAAATGAGCACTTTCACCTTCTCGTAAACTATCAATGTTTGAAAGAGGCTCTATAAACATTGGTGCCTGCCGTATTTCGACAGTTGCTCTTTCATCTTTAGAACGTATAGTTAAATCTTCAAGAGTTTGAATTTTCTCTAATCCTCCTTCCATACCTTGAGGTAATTGAGATTCCAATATAAGACTATTTTTTGATGAACAGCGTAAATTAGCTTTAGTTGCATCAGTTCCAACTTTATTTGAAGCTCTACATTCATATACACCAGAATTTTCTTCATAACAATAAAGTATATCTAAGATAACAATACCAAAATCATGAAATGTTCTAAATCGATGACCATGCTGCAACTTTTCACCATTAAAGAACCATTCAACCTAGAAATATATAATTATTTCAAAAATCATAAAACAAAGTACTGTGATTAAGCTTACAACAAGATTTGGATCATTAATAGGAGTAATACGAGCTTCAAAATGTGCACTTTGACCTTCTTTTAAATTGATTACATCAGTTATTTGACTAACAAATTTAGGTACTTCTTGAACAGGAGAGGATAGAATTCCTAAATTTTGATCAACAGGATTTTCAAGTTCTTGGATTCGAGCTAATGAACTAGGTTGCAATGAATCCAAATATACACCTCCTCTACCAAAGCATTGAATTGTAGCTTTTGTAACATCTTCACCATACCTGTGTAAATAGAAATATATGATTTTTAAATTAAATAAAAAAATTTATTACATGGATATATCCTCAAGCACTTCAAGCAAAAAAATTTAATTTTTGTAATTTTAGTAAATATTATACAGAGTAATTATTTTAACACTAGCCACTCAATTTCTCTTAAAATACTAATTTTAGCTTCAATGCGAAGCTGAGAAGGTATTAATTTTACTATATGGGTTTTTTTTTATTTTTTGTTTGTTATCAGTAATTGTATCTAGTTAAAGACATTACTCTCAAAAAATAAAAAAAAAAATTCAGTCGTTTCTCATAAATAGTAGAAATCTCTAAAAAAAATTACAAATTTAAAAATCGATAATTTTTTAAATTTTCACAATTTTTTTTACTTAAAACTGCCATAGCTTTTTAAAAAATAGATAAATAGAAACAATATATTCTTTATATATACATTAGGTATTTATCTTTCAATTAGTATACGTTTTTTTTTAGTTTGACCTTTTACCTGCCAACAGAAGGGTATTCAAAATAACAACTTTCTCACAAAAAATTAACTTTTGAAAGTATTCCAGAAATACTGACACTTTTATATATATCTTAAATTAAAGCTTATGTAATGTACTTTTATATGGAAATAAAAAATTTGACCTCTGAACTTGTCTTCATGGTGAAAATGACTACCATATTCAAAAATATGCTTTTTTAGTATTATAATTCTTGGTTTTATGTTTTGTATTTTTAACTTTATATTACTATAATTTTTCGAAAAATGTATGGATCAATACCATTTTTTTTTAAATCTGACCATTTTCTTTTATACAGAAAGCATATAACTATAAACATATGTTTAGAGACTAGTACTTTTTCAAATTAATTTTTGAAAATGTTCCTGAAATAATGATACTTTTATATACTTTTTACATCTTAAATTAAAGCTTATGAAATATACTTTACTATGAACAAAAAAAATTTGAACTCTGGACTTGTCTTCATGGTGGAAATGTCTACAGTATTTAAACATTTGCTATTTTTGTGTTATAATTTTCATTTTAAAATAACTTCAATTAGATTCAATAACTTGAATCTAAATTAAGAATCTCATCACTATAGTCTCCCTCATTTGAAGAAATTTCTTATTCATATTAAAATTATTTTACTATGTGATTTTTTTTTTTTTGTGGCTCTCATATATTTTCTCATCTTTAATTTGACCAAGTTTTTAATGGTACATCTAATGATCACAACTATTATCCAGTTAAAGATATTACCCTTAAAAATTGAAAAATAATCCCTTTTATCAAATAAAAAGTAGCATAACCAACTTTATCCATACAGACAATTAATATTATTAATTTTAATATTTTTAAAGTATTTATTGTCGACATAGGTTGGATTAATAGATAGATTTATAATAGATATAATAGACATAATAGATTTCAACACAAAATTAAATAACTTTTCCTTGTAATTTATTAATTCTTTAACTCTATTTGTGTGTGTTACTACCAGCCTATAATATTCCAAATTTATTGGTAACATGTTACTATATAAATCATTTTTAAAAAAAATGATTTTTAGTTTCACCTGAATTTAACATTGAATATTTACAATTATAATCAAATTTTATAATGTGCTCAATAAAATAGATTTTTTTAACAACATTTTAATTGGTTTTTTAGTTAAAATAAATCATAAAAATTAATTAAGTTTTGAATATTTCAATTGTAGAATCTTTTTAAACACCAAAAGTTACTAAGAATTAATTATTATAATTTCTATTTAAGTAATCTATTACAATAAAAATGCAAAAAAAATGTCGAGCTTTTCTGATAAATTTACTATAAATAGTAATTATAAAATTTCCTGACTGCATATTAATCTTAAAGATACAATTTTTTTAATTTTCATAAAATTTCCTATTTAATGATGTCAATTTCAAACTTGTAAATTGAGTCATGGTAAAAAATTCAACTTTTTTTTATGGTGAACTTTCAAAAAATCAATTTTAAAAGACCAAAAAAATAGGTTAAAAATGATGATGAAATGAAAATTTGCACTGATTATTTTTAACACATTAAAAATCAAAATCAGTAATAGTTTAAGAACAGTTTTTTATTGTTTTTAAAATTATTTTTTTATAATTTTTTTATAATTTTTTTACAAGTTTGTTGTATAAGTGACGAAATATACTACTTTATATTTTTTTGTTTTTTTCTTCATAAAAATTTAAATCTTAAATTATTAAATAATAATTTCATACTATATTTAAGTGCTATAATAAATATTTACTCATAAATTATACTTTTAAATCTAAGAACTACTAATCAGGATATAATTAAGGAAATAAGAGTTGATGTTGCTTTTGTAAATACTATCTACAGATTTGCATTGAAGCGTTTCTTATGATGGTGATTAATATCACGGTCATATATCATCTATACTTGTCTCAACTATTCCTTGTATATACTGTGCCGCGACCCCACTATAGCTTATAAAACAGAAAATAACCAGTCAATAAAAATGTTTGAACCAATGTTTCAGAAGGTATTAACAATGTTAAGTATTGATTGGAGATGAAATGCAGATGTTGCAATTTTTATCACTAAACATTTTTTGGCTTCACTCATTCTGACAAGATATAAAAGTCCAAAAGTTATCATTAAGTTGTTATTATTATACTATAAGCTAATTAATTATGTATGTTGCTGCTTGACAAATAAATCTGATACCCTTATGAGCTATAAAGAATGAATTCTCTGTGTAAATAATAACTGATAAATCGAGATACATATGTAACTAACATAAGCCAAAAATTCATTATTTTAAGAGAAATCTAGTGGCTAATGTTAAAAGAATCACTGTACATAGTTTTATCTCAACCAAAAAAATAAATATATATAATATACCATTCTCTAACTTTAAATGTATTTAAAATTAATAAAAACAAGATAATAGTGAAAGTTCAAAGTTTCTTACTTATTACTAGCTTTGCAGATATATTCTCCAGAATCGTGATTTTGCACATAAGCAATGTCCATAACAACAAAACCAAAATCAGAAATCATTTTAACCCTGTTTTTGTGCAGCAAAGGTTTGCCATTATGAAACCATTCAACTTTTAGATCAGGATCATTCATTGGTATTAAAGTACATTCAAAGTGTGCAGAATCACCATCTTTTAATCCAATTAGACTTTCAATTTGTGATGTGAATTTAGGTTTCTGACCATCTATTCTTTCAATGCACTCCAATGTTACACTGGTTTCAGCTGTACCATATTCATTGGTTGCTTTACAAGTATAGGTTCCAGTATCAGTTATCTTTGTACCAAGTATTTCGAGAACTACCATTCCAAAAGCATAAATTGTACGAATACGATGACCTAACATTAGAAGTATTTATTTAATACAAATTTGATATTAAAATTTTTTATTTAATACAGTTCACTTACTAGCTTCAATAACTTTTCCATTATAGAACCATTCAACAATCATTTTTTGATCACCAATAGGTATTAATGATGCTTCATAATGAGCAATTTCTCCTTCACTTAAAAACCCAAGATCTTTAAACTACAGAAGTAAAAAATAAATCAACCATATATAAATTCAAAAAAAATTAAATTAAAATTTTTTTACTTGTGATGTGAAAATAGGAGTATGCCCACTTTCTTTATCAATAATTCCTTGTTTTTGTTTATGCAAGGATTCCTCTAAATTTTGTATTTTTTCTAAACCTTCTTCTCCTTTAGGATGTTGTGTATGTTCAACTAATCCTTCTCTACTATTACAGTATACCGTAGTTGATGTATACGTTTCACCAGAATGATTGTATGCTTTGCAAGTATATACTCCTTGATCTCGTTCATAAACATCAGTAAGATCCAATGTAACAAATCCAAAATCATTATTTGTTTTAAATCGTGACCCTAAAAATGTTTTACACATATAAACTATACAGAAGGATAAATATTTAGTGGTGGATTTAACTAGTTTGCTGCTGTAAAAACTGAATAAACTGTCACCATCATACACATATTTTTTAATCTAAAACATAATATTTAAGCATAGGCGTAACAAGAGAGGGAGTAGGGAGATAGCCCCCAAAAATTTATAAAATGATTTATACTATAATAGAAACAGTTTATTAATTAGATAAAAAAAAATGAGAATTTAATATACTCTAGAATTTTTTGTAAAATATAATATTAGTAAAATAATAGAAAAATTTATAATGAACAAAACAGCAAATTTTGAAAAATGTATAATTTCCATTTCTCAACACTGATACTGCACTGATAGTAAGATACATACATGGTAGTAGGTTTTTGGAAGCATTGTTCAATAAATAATTTAAAATATTAGAATGCAGTAATTAGTAAATGCTATACTGTATTAATTATTAAATCAGGTAATATAATCTTAGGTAGAAAAATCTTTATTGGATCAGAACACAGACACAGTAATTAGTTGTAAACTAACTGACATAATTTTAGTCTACTTCATTATAATATTATAGGTTTTATCACAACATGGTAATTGGTCAAGTGCTAAATTGTGTTTAATGAGAAATTCATCAAGATTAAAATTATATTTTTATACAATGACACCATTAGTACATTTCAACATAAAAGTTAAAACACAATAACTAATGTATCGCTAAATTGTGTTGATTAACATTTTACTGAATTATTATTTTCTTGTGAGTCATTTTCTTTGCATCAATTGTAATATCATAACAAATTAATAATATTATAATACACATTTAAATTTTTTTATTAAATTATGGTCTTCAATATTTCTTAAATATTTATATCTGTTTTTAATTTTTTAATATCATTTAATTTTATGTATTACTTATGTGAGTATAAAAGAATAAGTGAAACATTTCAAATTATATACCTACATTCAAAAACTTAACAATATAAAACAAAACATTGAAAGATGTTTTAAAACTAAATAATTAGAACCTAGTACTCATCAGCGTTTTGTATAATTTTTAAATTACAAAGCATAGCATCAAGTCCATTTTTTTACTAGTTATTAAAAACTAGATGACCAAATCATTGGTCTAAATACATTTTTCAATAATTAATGCATTTCTTTCAGTTATAGTTATGTATAAAAAAAAAAATTTTGATAAAAAAACAAATTTTTCACTCTTGACTATTAGTCTACATTAAAAAATTCCCACCATAAGCACTAGCTTATTATGATTACTGGGAAATCTGATACTGAAAATAATATATATAATAGATTTACCTAAATCGAGTACTTTTCCATTAAAATACCATTCAATTTTTAAATTAGGATCATTTTTTGGTTCAACTTGTGCTTCTAAATGTAATACTGCACTTTCAACAAGTATAAATTCGACCTCTAATGGTACAACAAAAATAGGTTTTGGATATACAGTTTCTGGTAATGATTGTTGACGTTGATACTTGTGAGCTAAAGTATTTTCAACTTCCTGTACTTTTTCTAATCCAATTATACCTTGAGGGTGTTGAGTATCCAGATGTATTACTTGATTTCCTATGTATAATTTAATTTATATCATTGCAAAATTTGAATGTTAAAATTAATTTGAAAAAAAGAATTCTAAAAATTATGTGTCAATGACTTAGTAAAAACAAGAATGTATTCTTACAATACATTATTACAATATATCACAAACATAAAATAATTAGTTGGAAAATAATACTGTAATTTGAAAAAGTTGTTTTAACATTATTGATATTGTTAAGAGAATACCAGTATGCACTACTTTTTGAACTTGCAAATAATTAACTTATTATACATTATTTCTAATATCATTTAGTCCTAATAACTCCATATCTAAAATGGTTTTTGATATATAAAACCTATTTTGATATGTAAAGTCTGCTCTAACCTTTTTAAGCCACTATTGCTCTAAAAACAAGTTAGCTACTCCTTGAAATTTCTACTTTTTTTTGTTTATTGTATCATATTTTTCAAGAGTAATGAGCAAAATGAAAATAATGTTTAAAATCATTTCGTATGCTTCACATTCTTAGAAAGAAAAGCCCCGTGAATATTATTTGATATAATTATTTTTTACAAATTATACAAATATTTTAAAAAAAAAACACAGCTTTTAGATTCACATAAAACTAAACAAGTGCCTCTACTGTGATTATATATATATATGAAATATTTATTAAATACATTTTAAATTTTATATTAACGTTTTATCAGTAATGAGTTTAAAATTCCAAATACATACCTATACATTTGAGCGTTCCAGTTGTCATTGCAAATCCCTTAGTATTAGTAGCTCTACAAGTGTAAATTCCTGAGTCTTCAGTGCATGCTTGTTTAATATCTAATGTTACAAATCCAAAATCATAAGAAGGTTTAAACCTAGATCCAATTTGAAGTGGCAAGCCATTCAATAACCATTCTAAAAAATATAACATATATATTATGAATAAAATATTCATATACCATTAACCCTTTAAGAAGCATTATAGGTAAAAAAAATTCAATATCGAATTTGATTACTTAGTTAACTAGCATATTTTATCTTGGTTTCTAAGTTTTTAGCCATTAAAAATATAATTCATATTGCTACAGACCTATTTTCATAGTCGGATCTTTTGAGGGTTCCACTTGACATTCAAAATGAGCCTCATTCCCTTCTTTACATTCCCAGTTATTTAAATGTGATATAAAAACAGGGCTTTCATAAATAGGATCTGGACCTTCTGGACATTTAGCTTGAGGTTTTTCTAAAGCTTCAAGCCTGGGTAGTGAATCAGGATGTAATGAATTTGCTAAAAGCCAGTGACTATCTGCTATTTTTAGTGTACATGTTGACACAGCTTCGCCTAATAAATTTGTAGCTTTACATGTATAAATAGCTGAATCATCAGGTCTTAAGCTATTTATAGCTAATGTTACCAATCCAAAATCAAAAGTACTTCTAATTCTAGAACCTGCAATATCAAATTAATATAATAAAAATTGATCACTTGTGGCTAGTTAATTAAGTAAAATTAAAACTATATTAAAAATATTATTAATTTAAAAAAACTAAAAAATATTAAAAATATTAAACTCAAAAGCCACAAAAAAATTAATGAAAAGTCGCGGATACGTATTTCGGAAACAATGTTACCATTATCAACGCTAAACACATACTGA